TCATCCCCGATACCCCCGAATAAGCAGAAAGAATTGTGGTGTTTTTACCGACAGAGCACACGACATTCTGGTCAGCTGAGTCGCGGCTCACTGCGCCGGGGATCTTTTCACCCACCAACAAGATAGAGGGTGGTGGGCCCCTGGTGGGGAGCACCTGACGTCAGTGGTTAAGGGTATGGAGCTGCAGTTTACAAACACGATACGTAGCTGATGTGAGTGTCTAGATATACTGATTTGACTTCGGTAAACAATGCCTCCAGATCTCATACATTTGTTCATTGATCATTCCCCAGATACACCCTAGAAGAAGCAAAAGATGTTGTGTTAGTTTAACCGTGAGTCACGACTTCTGCCTGCTGAGTGGGCTCACAGGCGCGTGAGTCGACGAGAAGTCACAGGAAGTTGCGGGGTCGCCCGCAAATCGGCTTGCCCCTCTCGATCCGAGGGCGTTTGTAGCTCAACACTGACTTTAAACGCGGTTACTCTTATGAATTCTAATATAAACAGACAAAACGTACCACGGAGGAAGATACACTTGTGTAGGAAATTACCCACCAAAGTTAGCCGCTGAGCGCTAAAGCTAATCAGCAGTAAGGACGAGTTCCAAAAAAGGTGGGGGGAGTCGATTGAGGATAAATAGGCACCAGAAAATGTCCGACTCCTTTGTTGCTGGGGACACAAAAACCAAATCATTCTTCTGTTTGTCGTGCGTTTAGCTGAAGGAAGTTGTTTTGCAATCCATCGACTGATCTGTTGGATACTGTGAAGGAGTGAGTCCACTGGTCCATGTTCTCCTTCAGTCAGTGGATGACATCGATCTATTGTCGACTTGGCATAGTTATGCTAGGAAACGTTCGTTTCTCTAACGTATTAACTGACGGTTTCCAAATCTCCACAAAGTTACTATCCTGGTCTCTAGGTAAGACTTAAACCAACTTAGGGCTGTGCCGGCGCCAACCCAGTACCTCTAGTCCTTAGTAGAAGGATCTCATGATCGACAGTGTCAAAAGCTGCAACTCAGATCTAACAAGATTAAGATTGAGACTTTTGTCCTGCTTCATTCTGTTCAGCCGGAATATCATTTGAAAACCTTGACGAAGCAGTCTCAGTGGCTGTGGTGGTGTCTAAAAGCCGGACTGAAACATGTCAAATGAGTTGTTGATTATAATAAAACTAGTATGCTGTTGGTTAGATACAACTTTCTCGAACGTTCCCCATAAATTGGTCAAGATTTGAGATTTGGGACGTTATTTTTTAAGTAACCGTACATCGAGACTGCTCTTTTTTAGCAGGGGAGCCCTGGGATGACTGCTGTTTTTCAGGTCCTTGGGAATATTCCAAAGAATGAAGGGGACATGTTTACTATCTGTGATGAAGGTAACAGACGGCTCAGAAACAGCCTTCAGAAAATCCATCCACCAAGCTACATTTAGAAGGAGCTAGACTGGAAATATCTCTTGTACAGTTTTTTTATCATCTACAGGTGCAAAGTGAGTTTGTGCTCAAAGAGCTCTTTCTGGCTGTTGCATGGTTATCTTGATTTGGAGACAATGGCGTTTTTGATGCCTTAACCTTTGTCATTGTGAAAAAATGTGCAAACTCATTGCATTACGTTTGAAGTAAGCACTAAGGGAAGCTGAACAGGGGTGGAGTTTGTTTAATGCATTATCTGTTGAAAAACAGAAACAATGCAGATTGTACTGCAGCCTTCAATCATTTCAGAAAAATTACCTTTTTCTCGTACGACGTAGCACCCGTTAAATTTGAAAGATCCAATCAACTTTGTGAACTTAATTTATTTTTTATATTATCCTATTTTAACCTAACTTGTTGCGCACAATTCTGTCCTTTTTGCATAATCTAGAGTAATTCTATCTATTCAACTTGTGACATGTCCTCGTACTACGAGCACCCGGTTAAACTCGCACAACTATATCCTTGATTATCTTGTAATCAACCTGGATGATAGACTTGCGCCACTTCCTCTCGGGACCCTCCGCTACATCCTCTTCATGTGGCTTCCTGACCGAGTCCTGCATTTATAGTCCACGGCGCCTTCTGCATATTTTTCACTATTTTAAAACCTACACAGGGCAACGGTATCCAGAACATTCAAACACTAAGGTTACAGAGTTAAACATTTCAACACCAGTAGAACGACGATGCAATTTCAAAGTTTATCATTCCATAAATAGTTCACCGCAGAATTTTCATTATGTGTCTTCATCGAACAGTTGCAAGTCCACTTGTGTTTTGTCATAGTGAAACACAGAAAATGATCCAACTAAAGAGCAACATGACTCACGTTTACATTTTAATATTCACGCCACCTTAGTAACAAACCGGTCTAGAGTGTGCCCTCTGCTGTGGTTGTGGCCACTCACTAGGCCCTGGCGTTGGATACCAAAGGTATCAGGTGAAAGAACTCAGCGTCAGTTTGCATTCTGGTCAGTAACATTATCCACATTAATATTAAAATCCCCTGTAAGAACTAAACATATCAAAATCTGTGCAGTACAACTTAAAGCAACTGCGTGTATCAATAAAACTGTGACATTTACTCGCGGTTGCTTGTAATATTGACAATGAAGAGATGTGGGAGGAGATTGTTTATGTTTTGAATTGTTAAAAGACACATGTCAAATGACGGAAAATTTCCCCAAAGATACATTCTATGGTAGACAACGTGGTCTCAAAAAATGGCAGCTAAGCCTCCTGCCCGTTCTTGATCCTAATAGGATTTGGTGCGTCCCTCAGTTGTCACCTGGTGAGACATGCACCCTATTTTGCACGTACGACGATGAAAAGATTTGACTGGTGTAACTTTGGTGAGGATCGGAAAAGTATGTTCGGAAGCCTCAGCCATAGGTGGCACTCTAGAGTCAATGTAAGGTGTTGTATTTTTCACACCTTTACGCACATGCGGGGCAGAGGCCATTACCAACTGTTCGTGATGTGAGTTTCAGCTCTGTAGGTGTGAGCCTGTTGGCCAATAGAGCATCAAACATAGAAAAAATTCCCCTCACCCTCACCGCCTCACATTAAATGAAGAAACAAATTTTTTAACTTTTTTTGCGATGATTATATTTGCTTTGATCCGTTCAGATCAGAAATGGGTTCTATATGGCGCATTGATACTGACATAGCACTGGATGTCGGTCCTCAATGTGTTGTTTTACAGTCATGAATACACAATAATAATAATACTTTCCGTTATTTCCCAGTGTTTGGTGTATTACGTTTTATTGTAGCCAACTAAACATAGGTTGTGTATAAAAGCAGTTGCTTTGATAAGTTTTGATGAGAGTTCCATGAAAATGAAACCATACGTGCAAATACATCTATTTTTACTGTAATAAACGTGTAGTCTTGAACTTGCTCATACAAGCTCTACAGGCGTGTAATAACTCGTGCCGTAACCATTTTCGAAAACACATGTCTCGTCTCCCTGTCACAAACTACCCGTCTTAAGTCCAGCTGAATCCTGCGCCACACTCTGCATCATTCCTATCTTCTCTATAAACTTTGATCTGGTTTTTTACTGGAGGCGAAAATGAAAAATACTTAGTAAAAAAATAAATAAAGAAGATCCCAAAGTAATTTTGATTTTGTTCCGCCTTGTTCTTTTCTTCTCAAGATTTACTTGGGAATAAGTAACTGGTACTAGCTATAACAATTCGTAACATTTCTATGGAGAATGGAGATACTTCCTCCAGGGAGAAGGTTCTAGGATAATTCTCAAAGTTTTTGGTGCTGAGATTAGTAATCCTAAGAAACATACAAAACTGAAAATAATAACATGTAGCATGTTTTTTGTTTTCCTCTAACAAAAAATATAAATCTTATCCTACACATAAAAATTTGTCCTTTCAGCATTAATGCCCTATTTCTAATTTATATCAGCACTTTTATATATGGCTATGTATTCATTGTTTGTTTGTTTTTCCCAACATATTCTCATGTAATCCTCACAGTAATTGAAACCAAATATAATAACTTCTTAAACATTGAAGGTATAATTCATTTTTCATTACCTTCTTGCTTTCTCTTTCATCATCATACAACGTGTGCAAACAGTTCACCTCACAAACAGATTTCAAGTGTTGCCCGTTGTACCACGTTTCCGCTTTGTTTCCAATAAACAATTCCTTGATGAATGCATAATACTGCTATCTTCTTATTATTAGCTCACTGGATCTGTTAGTCAATACTCGTTTGAGCAATGTATATTGATTGGATTAAGGGCATTATAATAGTAGTCCTCTCTGGATCCACGGGTTGCATGGATGAGATTGCGATTGGTAATTATTGCATGATAGTTGTAATAAGTAGAAATAGTAATTATTAATTTATATACCCGAGCCTTTTTCACTGCATATCTTATCTCAAAGCGTTGGTACAATGGGTATTTTTTGGGCATTTGTCTCTCTACTCCACACAAGATGGGAGGCGGGGGGCGCCAGTACAGGAGGCGCATGCTATGAACTATTGGTGGCACTATTTTAGTGTAGGGGAAACCGGAGTATCCCGAGGTACCTAAAACGCAGTCGAACGGGAGAACATTAAACTCCACTCGAAAGGCCCTGGTCCGATTCCGGGATTCGAACCCATGACATTCTGCGGGAGAGGCGAGTGTGCTCTCCGCTCAGCCACCGTGCTAGGTTAGCAAGACATTAATCACTGGAAATTGTGTGATTGAGCTGGGTTCTGTAACCACCGTACCGCAAAGGTATTTCTATGAAAAGGCCCTGTGGTATTCGACAGCGATTAGGTAAGGTGGTGTGAGGGAAGAGAAGATGGGGGTGAAGTGAATTGAGATTGATTGGTATGGTGAAGGGAGGGAGGGAGAGGTGGTGAGGGTGTATAGTGAGGGAGTTGGGGAAAAAGTGGGAAGGAAAGAGATGTTGTAGAAAGTGAGATGTAAGACTTAGCTGAATATATGTGTTCATTGTATTAAGGGAGATTGGGATGGTGGTGTATAGGAGGATGGAAGGTGGGATATGTTAGTGGTTGGAGGGGGGAGGGGGGTGGGGGGGGGGGGGATGGGGGTATGGGGGGGAAGGGTAGGGTAGGGGATGGGGATGTAGTGGGTTGGGGGGGGGGTGGTTGGTGTGGGAGTGGGTGTTATTATATAGTTGATAGGGTGTGTGTGTTTAGTTTTTTGAGGGGGGGTGTGGGGGTGGTGGTTTGGTGGGGGTGGTTGTTTTGTGTTTGGGTTTTGGTGGGTTTGTTGGGGTGGGTGGTTGTGGGGTTGGGGGGGGTGTTGTTGGGGTGGGGGGGGGTGGTGGGGGGGGTTTTTTAGTTGGGTTGTTTGTGGGTGGTGATATATGTTTGGTTGTTTGTTGGGGTGGGGTTTGGGGGGGGGGGGGGGGGGGTGTGTGTGGGGTGGGTTGGTGTGGGGGTTGGTTTTGTGTGTTGGTTGTTTTTGTGGGTGTTTGTGTGTTTTGTGTGTGTTGTTGGGTGTTGGGGGGGGGGGGGGGGGGTGGTGTGTTTGTGTGGGTGGGGTTGGGGGGGGTTGTGGGTTTGTGGTTGGGGGGGGGGGGGGGGGTGGTGGGTGTGTGGGGGGGGGTGGTGGGGTTGGTGTGTGGGGGTGTGTGTTGTTGTGGGGGTTGGGTGGGTTTGTGTTGTGGGTGGGGGGTGGTGTTTTGGTGGGGGGTTGTTGGTGTTGGGTTTTGTTGGGGGGGGGTTGGGGGGTGGTGGTTTGTTGGGTGGGGGTGTTTTTGTTTGGTGTGGGTGGGGTGGGTTTGGGGGGGGGTGGGGGGTGTTTGGGGGTGTGGGTGTGGGGGGTGGGGGGGGGGGGGGTGGTGGGGTGGTGGGTGGGTGGTGGTTGGGGGGGTTGGGTGGTGTTGTTTGTGGTGTTGGGGGGGGGGGGTTGGGGTTGTTGGGGGTGGGTGTGGTGTTGGGGGTGGGTGGTTGGGTGGGGGGGGTGGGGGGGGGGTGGGGTTGTGGGGGGGGGGGGGGGGTTGGGGGGTGGGTTTGGTTTTTGTGGGGTGGGGGGGGGTGGGGGTGTGGGGGGGGGGGGGGGGGGTGGGGGGGGGGGGGGGGGGTTTGGGGGGGGGGGGGGGGGGGGTGGTGGGGGGGTGGGGGGGGGGGGGGGTTGGGTGGGGGGGGTGGGGGGGGGGGTGGGGGGGGGGTGGTTGGGTGGGGTGGGGGGGGGGGGGGGGGGGGGGGGTGGGGGGGTGGGGGGTGGTGGTGGGGGGGGGGTGGGGGGGGGGGGGGGTGGTTGTGTTGGGGGTGGGGGGGGGTTGGGGGGTTGGGGTTTGGGGTTGTTGGTGTTGGGGGGGGGTGGGGGGTGTGGGGGTTTGGGGGGGGGGGGGTTGGGTGGGTGGGGGGTGTGGGGTGTGGGGGGGGGGGGGGGTGTGGTGGGGTGGGGTTGTTGGGGTGTTGTGTGTGGGGGTGGGGGGGGGTTGGGGGTGGGTGGGGTGGGGTGGGTGGGTGGTGGGGGGGTGGGGGTTGTTTGGGGTGTTTGGTGGGGGGGTGGTTGGTGTGGGGGGTGGGGGGGGGGGGGGGTGGGGGGGGTGGGGTGGTTTGTTTGTGGGTGGGGGGGTGTGGGGGGGGTGTGTTGGGGGGGGGTGGTGGGGGGGGGGGGTGTGGTGTTGGGGGGGGGGGGGGGGGGGGGGGGGTGGTGGGTGTGGTGGGGTTGTGGTGGGTGGGGGTGGTGGGTTGGGGGGGTTGGGGTGTGGTTGGGTGTGGTGGGGGGGTGGTGGGGGGGGGGGGGGGGGGGTGGTGGGGTGGGGGGGGGGGTGGGGGGGGGGGGGTGTGTGGTTGTGTTTGTTTGGTGGTGGTTGTGGTGGGTGGGGGGGTTGGTGGGGGGGGGGGTGTGTTGGTGGGTGTGGTTGTTGGGGTGGTTGTGTGGTGGGTTGGTTGTGTGGGGGGGTTGGTGGGGGTGGGTGGGTGTGTGGGGGGGTGGGTGTGTGGTTGTGGGTTGTTGGGTTGGGGGGTTTGGGGGTGGGTTTGGGGGGGGGTTGTGGTTTTGGGGGTTGGGGGGGTTGGGGGGGTGGGGGGTGGTGGGGTGGTGGTTGTTGGGGTGTGGTGGGTTGGGGTGGTTTGTTGGTGGGGTGTGGGGGGGTGTGGTGGGGGGTGTGGGGGGGGGGGGGTGGGGGGGGTGGGGGGGGGGGTGTGGGGGGTGGGGGTGTGGGGGTTGGGTTTGTGTTGTGTGGTTTTGTTGTGTGGTGTGTGTGGGTGGGTGGGGGGGGGGGGGGGGTGGTGGGTGTTGGTGTGGGTGGGTGTGGGTGGGTTGTTGGTGTGTGTGGTGGGGGTGTGGGGGGGGGGTGGTGGGGGGGGGGGGTGGGGTTGGTGTGGGGGTGGGGGGTGTGTGTTGGGGGGGTGGTTGGTTTTGTGGGGGGGGGGGGGGGTGGGTTTGGGTGGGTGGTGTGTGGTGTGGGGGGGTTGTTGTGGGTTTGGTGGTTTTGGGGGGGTGGGGGTGGGGGGGGGTGGGGGGTGTGTGGGGTGGTGGTGTGTTGGGGGGTGGGGGGGGTGGGGGTGGGGTTGGTGGGGGGGGGGGGGGGGGGGGGGGGGGGGGGGGGGGGGGGGGGGTGGTGGGGGGGTTGGTGTTGGTGGGGGGGGTGGGGGTGGGGGGGGGGTTGGGGTGGGTGTGGGTGGGGGTGGTGGGGGGGGGGGGGGGTGGGTTTTTGGTGTGGTTGGGGTGGGTGGTTGGTGGGTGGGGGGGGTGTGGGGTGGGTGGGGTGTGGTGGGGGTTTGGGGTGTTTGGGGTTGTGGGTTTGGTGGTGTTGGTGTTGGGGTGGGTGTGTGGGTGTTGGGTGGGGGGGTGGTTGGGTGGGGTGTTGGTGGTTTGTGTGGGGTTGGGGGGGGTGGTGGGTGTGGTTGGGTTGGTGTGTGTGTGGGGTGGTGGGGTTTGGTGGGTGTGGTGTTTGGTTTTGGTGTGTGGTGGTGTTTTGGGGGTGTGGTGTGGGGTTTGGTGGGGGGTGGGTTTTGGTGTGGGTGTTGGGGGGGGGTTGGGGGGGGGGGTGGTTGGTGTGGTGGGGGGGGGGGTGTGGTTGGGGGTGGGGGTGGTTTGGGGGTTTTGTTGTGTGTGGTGTGTGTGTTGGGTGGGGGTTTGGTGTGTTGGGGGGTGTTGGTGGGGTGGGGGGTGGGTGTGGGGGTGTGTGTGGGGGGGTTGTGGGGGTGGGTGGGGTGGTTGGGGTGTTGTTTGGGGGGGGGGGTGGTGGGGGGGTGGGGGTGGGGGGGGGGGGTTGTGGGGGTGGGGGGGGGGTTGGGTGGGGTGGTGGTGTGTGTGGGTGGGTGTTGTGTTGGGGGTGGGTTGGGTGTTGTGTTGGTTGGGTTGGTTGTGGGGGGGGTGGGGTGGTGTTGGTTGGTTGGGTGGGTGGGGGGGGGGGGTTTTGTGGTGGGGGGTGTGGTGTGTTGGTGGTTGTTTTGGGGTTGGTGGGTGGGTGGGGGTGGGGTGTGGTGTGGTGGGGGGGGGGTTGGGGGGGTGGGGTGGGTTTGGGGGTTGGTGGGGGTGTTGGGTGGGGGTGGGTGGTGGTGGGGGTTGGTGGTGGGGGGTGTTGGGGGGTGGGTGGTTGGGTTGTTGTTTGTTGGGTTGGGGGGTGTTGTGGGTGGTGGGGGTGGTGTTGGGTTGTGGGGTTGGGGGGTGTTGTGGGTTGTTGTGGTTGTGTTGGTTGGTGTGGGGGGGTGGGGGTGGTGTTGGGTGGGGTTTTGGTTTTGTTGGGGGGGGGGGGTGGGGGTTTGGGTTGTTTGTTGGTGTGGTGGTGTTGGGTTTGGGTGGGTGGGGTGGGTGTGGGTGGGGTGGGTGGGGGTGGGGTGGTGGGGGTGTTGTTTGTGGTGGGGGGGGGTTGGGGGGGGGTGGGGTGTGGGGTGGTGGGGGGTGGGGGGGTGGGGGGGGTGGGGGGGGGGGGGGGGTGGGTGGGGGGTGTGTGGGGGGTTGGGGGGGGGGTTGGGTGGGGGGTGTTGTTGGTTGGTGTGGGGGGGTGGGGTTTTGGGGTTGGTTGTTGTGTGGGGTGGTGGGTTGGTTTTGGTTGGGTTTTTTGTGTTTGGTTGGGGGGGGGGGGGGGTGGGGTGGGGGGGGTGGGGGGGGTTGGGGGTGTGGGGTTGTGGGGTGGGTGGTGGGTGGGTTTTGTGGGTGGGGGGGGTGTGGGGGGGTGTTGGGGGGGGGGTGGGTTTTTGGGGTGGGGGTGGTGGGGGGGGGTGGTTGGGGGGGGGGTGGTGGGTGGGGGGTGGTTTTGTTTGGTTGGTGTTTGTTTGGGGGGGGTGTGGGGGGGGGTTGGGTGTGTTGGTGGTGTGTGTGGGTGGTGTGGTGGTGTGGGGGGGGGTTGGGTTTGGGTTGTTATGTGGTTGTTTGGTTTTGGTGTGTTGGTGGGGTATTGGTGATGGGGGGGTGTTGGGGAGGGTGAATTTTGAATGTGATGGGAGTTTGTTGGTTTGTTGGTTAGGTTTGTTGGTTGGGGGTGGTGTTGGGGGGGGGTGGTGGGGGGGGGGTTTGTGGGTTGGGGGGGTGTGTTTTTTTGGGGGTTGGGGGGGTTTGGTGGGTGGGGTGGGGTGGGTGGTTTGGGGGTTTGTTTGTGGGGGGGGGTGTGTGGGTGGGGGGTGGGTGGGGGGTGTGGTGGGTTTGGGTTGGTGGTGGGTGGGGGGGGGGGTGGGGGGGTGGGGTGGGGTGGTTTAGGGGTGGGGGGGGGTGGGTTGTTGGGGGTTGGTGGTTGGTGGGGGTGTGGGGGGGGTGGGGGTGGGTGGGTGGGGGGTGTTGTGTTGGGGGGGGGGGGGTTTGGGGTTGTTGTGGGGGGGGGGTGGGGTGGTGGGGGTTGGGGGTTGTGTATTGTGGGGTGTGGGGGGGGGGGTGGTTGGGGTTGGGGTGGGGGTGGGGGGGGTGGGGGGGGTGGGGGGGGTGTGGGGGGGGGGGTGGGGGGGGGGGGGTGGGGGGGGGGGTTTTTGGGTTTGGTTGGGGTGGGGGTGGGGTGGGGGGGGGGGGGTGGGGGGTGTGTTGTGTTGTGTGGGGGTGTTTGGGTGTTGTTGGGTGGGTGGGGGGTTGGGGGGTGGGGGGTGGGGGGGGGGGTGTGGTGGGGTGTGGGGGGGGGGGTGGGGGGTGTGGGGGGGGGTGGGGTGGTTGGGGGTGGGGGGGGGGGGTGGGTGGGGGGGTTGTGGGGGGTGGGGGTGTGTTGTGTGTGGGGTGGGTGGGTGGGGGGGGGTGGGTTGTGGGGTGTGGGGGTGTGGGGGGGTTGGGTTGGGGGGTGGGGGGGTTGGTGGTGGTTGTTGTGGTGGGTGGGTTGTGGGGGGGGTGTGGGGGTGGTGGGTGTGGGGGGTTTTGTGTTGGTGGGGGTGTGGGGTGTGTGTGGGGGGTGGGTTTGTGGGTGTTGGGGTGGTGGGGTTGTGGGGGTTGGGGGGGTGGGGTGTTGTGGGTGGTGTGGTGGGGGGTGGTGTGGTGGGGGTTGTTGTGTGGTGTTTGGGTTTGGGGGGGGGGGGGGTGGTGGGGTGGTGGGGGGTGGGGGGGGTGGGTTGGGGGGTGTGTGGTTGGGGGTTGGGGTTGTTGGGGGGGGGGTGGGTGTGGGGGGGGGGGGGTGGGGTTGGTGGGGGTGGGTGGTGGTGGGGTGGGGGGGGGGTTGGGGGGGTGGGGTGGGGGGGGGTGGTTGGGGGGGGGGTGGGGGGTGGTGGTGGGGTGGGGGGGGGTGGGGGGGGTGGGGTGGGTGGTGGGTGGGGGGGGGGGGGGGGGGGGGGGGGGGGGGGGGGGGGGGGGGGGGTGGTGGGTTGGGGGGGGTTGTGTGTGGGGTGTTTGGGGGGGGGGTGGGGGTTTTTGTTGTTGGGGGGTGGGGGGGGGGTGGGGGGGGTGGGGGGGGTTGTGTTGTTGGGGGGGTGGGGGGTGGTGGGGGGGTTTGGGGGGGGGGGTGGTGGGTTGTGGTTGGGGGGGGGGTTGGGTGGGGGGTTGGTGTGGTTGTGGTGTGTTGGTGGGTGGGGTGGGTAGGGGGGGGGGGGGGGGGGGGGTTGTGGGGGGGTGTGGTGAGGGGGGTGGGGGGGGGGGGGGGTGGTGGGTGTGGTGGTTGGTGGGGGGGGGGGGGGGGTGGGTGGTGGGGGGTGGTGGGGGGGGTGGGGGGGGGGGGGGGGGGTTGGGGGTGTGTTGGGGGTGGGTGTTGGTGGGGGGGTGTGTTGGTGGGGGGTGGGGGGGGGGTGTGTGGTGTTGGTGTGGGGTGTGGGGGTGTGTGGTGGGTTGGGTGGGGTGTTGGTGGGGTGGGTGGGTGGGGGTGGGGGGGGGGGGTGGGGGGGTGGGTTGGGGGGGGGTTTTTTTTGGGTGTGGTGGTGGGGTGTTGTTGGGGGTTGGGTTGTGTGGGTGGGGGTTGGGGGGGGGTGGGTGGGGTGGGGTGGGGGGGGGGGTTGGTGGTGGGGTTTGGGGTTGGTGGGTTTGGTGTGTGTTTTGGGGGTTGTGGGTGTTGGTTGGGGTGTGGGGTGGTGGGTTGGGGGGTGGGGTGGTGGGGGGGGGGTGGGTGTTGGGGGGGTGTGGGGGGGGTTGGGGGGGGGGGTGGGGTGGGGTGGGGGGGGTGGGGGGGGGTTGGGGTGGGTTGGGGGTGGGTGGGGGGGGGGGGTGGGGGTGGTGGGGTTGTTGGTTGGGGGGGTTGGGGTGGTGGTGGGGTTTGGGGTTGGGGGGGGGTGGGTGTTGTGTGGGGTTTGTGTTGGGGGGGGGGTTGTGGGGGTGGGTGGGTGGGTGGGGGTGGTGGTGGGGGGTTGGGGGGGGTGGTGGGGGGGGGGGTGGGGGTTTGGTGGGGGGGTGGGTGTGTGTTGGGGGGGGGGTGTTTTGTGGTTTTTGGGGTGTGGTGGGGGTGTTGTGGGGTTGGGGGGGTGGGGGTTTGGTGGGGGTTGGGGTGGTGGGGTGTTTGGGGGTGTTGGGGGGGTGGGGGTGGTGTGGTTGTGGGGGTGGGGGTTGGGGGTTGGGGGGTGGGGGTGGGTTTTGTGGTGGTGTTTTGGGTGGGGGGGGTGTGGGGGGGGGGGGGTGTGGTGGGTGGGGGGGGGGGGGGGTTTTGGGTGGGTGGGGGTTGTGGGTGGGGTTGGTGGTGGGGTGGGGGGGGGGTGGGGGGTGTGGGGGGGGTGGGTGTGGGTGTGGGGTTTGGTTTTGGTTTGGTGGGTTGTGTGTGGGTGTGGTGGGGGGGGGTGTTGGTGGGGGGGGGTTGGGGGGGGGGGGGGTTTGGGGGTGGGGGGGGGGTGGGGGGGGGGGGGGGGGGGGGGGGTTGTTGTGTGGGTGTTTTGGGTGGGTTGTGGGGTGGTGTGGGGTGGGGGGGGTGGGGGTGGGGGGGGGGGTGGTTGGGTGTGGGGGGGTGGGGGGGGGTGGGGGGGGGGGGGGGTGGGGGGGGGGGTGGGTGGGGGGTGGGGGGGGGGGTGGGGGTTGGGGTTTGTTTGGGGTGTGGGGGGGGGGGGGGGGGGGGGGGGGGGGGGGGGGGGTGGGGGGGGGGGTGGGGGTGTGGGTTGGGGGGGGGTGGTGGTTGTTGGGGGTGTGGTTGTGGTGGTGGGTGGGGTGGGGGGGGTGTGTGGGGTGGGGGGGGGTTGGGGCTGCAACATTGATATTTCCCCACTGTGGGACAAATATAGGATCTCTTATCTTATCTCAAGTCAGATGCTCATAATACATGGTTTCATCCATGCATGCAAGTATAAGTATGCCTTTGCAATAGTTACATGTGAGTCATAAAACAAGGAAGAGGGAAAATGCTGTGAGAGTCAAGACAAAAATGGACAAAAAGGGATTCTGATGTAAGAACACCAGGCAAAATATACTGGAAAGAGCTGGAACTTGCACATTGAACCCAACACATCCTTCAGAGTATATAAAACAATATGTTGACGTCATATTGGTCTAGTTTTGGTTAAATATAATGAACACACTTTATGTCAAATAAAAGTAATGTCAAAATACCTTCTTAATGTGAAAATCAATTCTAATAGTGTTTTTTTGGCCCTGATCAGCTTCTATTTTTTTGTTGCTCTGCCCCTGACCAAATTGAGTTTGACACCCCTGCTGTACCCCATGAAAGATTCTGGAACGAGAACTGTGGTATTAGGGGTGCATGTGTTGAGTCATGCTAATGGTAAAGGGTATTGTTGTTGGTATTCACATTATAGTACATGAAAAATCTTCCTACCGATCACATTTATTTGGATCTATATGCTGCATATAGACGAGGTCTGGCAAATTGAGCTTGGTCGTTTAGCACAGTCAGAGTTCCATGCGCACGTTATTAATATACAGTATACTGTACATAAATTGTCTTCTTTCCATCTTTCCAAGTCTTTCTTGTTTGTTGTGAATTTCTCGTAGCCCGAGGTTTCGTCTAAGGTCAGATGCCAGAGCTCATCGCCCCTCGCTCTTTCTGAGAACTGTAGCACTGACAGGTGTCACTTCTCATTTGTTATCATAATGTCACGGCCACGCAGCATCAATCCTCTCTGCAAAGGTCGTTAGTTCACACTCACAGGAAGAGTTTCATGGTATACAAAAAAAAACAATCAAAAAAAAAAGTCATTAACACGTCAGCTACTGTATATTAAAAATCCCCCACAATCATTCGCACTGGATAGAATGAGAAATGAAAGAACAAAAAACTACTTTAGCTATATTTTGATGTGACATTAAAAGAGGCATTTTCCATAATACATTTACATTTAGTGAAAGATATGAATGAAGGCAGTGAATGAAGGCAGTTGAAGGACATCCTGTCAAAAGTCATGAGTACAACCATTATAGGAATGCACGGTTTGTCTGACTTTGACAAAATTGACTGAATTAAGCTTTTTTTATGGCAATGGAGAGGATTTTTATCATGAACATATTGTATATCTCCACAAACCTTGTTCGTACATGTCCTGCAGAGGACCTACTGTATATTTATTGGTCTCGTCTCTACCTTACAGAAGAGCCTGGTTACTTATTGGTTAGTTTGATTTTTACATATAACACAATACAAACAATTAACATTTACACATCTAACTCACACAAAACAGGTTTGCTGATCTGAAATAAGACTAATTAATACAATCTCACTCCACCCCATGCAAAAAGATGAAGTTTATACTGTACATACAACAACAGGTAGAATAATACAGCTTAAAATGTACATACAGATATTACAAGATAAAGTTTGTAGGTAAGGTAATTGTAAGGTATCTAGATAATACCAATTTAAATAGAGTAAGCCAAAGGAGGTAAAGGATCTTATGGATGAGTAGCCTATTCTAAGCAGCCTTAGTTACTATTAGTTATTATTGTAGAAAATGTATAGCATAAAAAAATCCGTATTGAGGCTTTTAGCAGAGACAGTGACAGGCCTGCTACTTTAAGATGCCGCTTGTTCTCACTTGAAGCAGTTGCACTTGAGGAAGATTTGGTTTCATCAAAAGGTAATTGCAGAGTATATGATGAAATCTCGGTGCAATGTGTTTGAAATAAAAGTGTGTGATATTAAGAGTTATAGAGGCTGTGGAGGAAACATATGTTTGCAAAGAAAGAATTTGAGCACATCTAATATCCGCCTGGTTTGTTCTGAATGATAAGGCACAGCGTTTGTGTAGCGACCTCTTTCAAATGAATCTTTTGGCCAAAGGATAACTCATGTTTATACTGAAATGTTTTGTGGAAAAGTTTCAAATTTGTTTCTTGATTGCAAAAAGTGATGAGGCTCGAGATTTGATCCATCACTGTGGTAAACTATGCATAGAAACACTTTAACATATTTGTATAACATCAGGTCCTGAACTCCTGTTGTTACTATAACGTAGTTATCAAAGTTATTATTAAGATTAAAGCCACTGTGTAATTTTTACAGCTACTCCATATGAAAAAACAGGTTAAACATGTACAATAGTTCTGGCATGCGCCTCCTGTAATGGCGACCCCGCTCCCATCTCTGTGTGGAGTGAGAGACAAATGCCCAAAAATAACAATTGTAAAACGTTTTATGACTCTGGTCTGTGAAAGGCGGTATAAAAATAAAGATTACTTACTTACTTACGTAACTAATAACAAATGTGACCTTTTTAAGAATATTTGCCTCCACCATGTTTTTTGAATTGTATTCATAGGCTTAGAATTTAACTTATAAGTGTCCATGAGAGCTGAGGACTATCCATGTCAATGCGCCATCTTGAAAAACAGTGGTGGATAAGGGACAAAAAGGATGCGAGAATCACATTTTCGTTTCACATGAGCTACTGATATTGTTTCTTTCACCGTGCCTTCACAAGTTGGAAGAAGGAACCATGGAGGACCACAGTTATATTAAAGAACCATGGAGGACCACAGTTATGTAAAAGAAATTAGAAAAATAATTATGCAGAAGTCCAGCGTCATGGCAGCAAAGTGTCAACATCGCAAACCACATGCACAAGACGCGTTAAAACGACAGGAGGCATATTGTGTAGTTTGTACGCACCAGACTCACACGTGAACAATACGTAACTACTGTTCGCACTAAACTTATTCAGGGAAAATAAAATACACAGAATCCCCACAAAACAATCGGCAGAATACTTTTACACTAGCATGAGTGAATGTTCTGTTTTACTTAGTGTGAATCTGATAGGGCGCTGTGGCTAACGCTAATGCTAACAATAGAGCCATGGTAAAACTCAGTAGAGCCCCTGTGCAGGGTGCCGCGTCTGAACGCGGTCTTGTTTACAATTTGCCTCCACGCGACTGTCAAGTGCCAGAGAAGTTTGGAGAGATCCGGTCATTTATCAAACTAAAGTATTCTTTCCTTGGCAGTCTGGTGTATGACTGAGAGTTGAGGAGCACTGTCAAACAGTATAGGCAACAGTACTCCTCAACTCAAAGGCACCCGTACTATAATAGACTGCAATATAAGATCTCAAGGCTAAATGGCACTAAAAATTATACAGTGTAACTTTAAGAGATCCTTTATTCGTTCCACAGTGGGGAAAATGTCACTGTTGCATCACAAGTTACAATGTGGAGTACACAACACAAGATGAAAATACAAGGATTAAATACAGCAACAAAAACAGAAACAAATGAAAAAAATACAATTAAATCCGGAAAGCAGCGATGAAAGGCCCCCCAGGCGCCAGTCCCACAAGCGTTATGCGGCGTAGTTTCCGATGAATTTGCAGCCTGATAGGTCCAGGATTAGGCATGGAAAAGCTCACTAATAGGCAAGGGAAGGCAAGGCAAGTTTATTTGTATAGCACAATTCATACACAAGGCAATTCAAAGTGCTGAACAAAATAAGAAAGCATTAAAATCATAAATAATCACAGAACATTAAAAAGAAAGATACAAATACTGTATAAAATCCCTCAGTTGTATGCACAGCTAAACAGAACTGTCTTTAACCTGGTTTTAAACATTGTTAGAGAGGAGGCCTGTCTCACATCTTCAGGAAGACTGTTCCAGATTTTAGCTGCATGAATCTGTAAAGCTGCCTCCCCATGTTTAGTTCTGACTCTGGGCACTAACAGGAGTCCAGTCCCTGTGCTCCTCAGAGTCCGGGCTGGTTCATATGGGACTAACATGTCACTAATATATTTTGGTGCGAGGCTATGGAGAGATTTGTACACAAGCAGAGCTGTTTTAAAGTCTATTCTCTGAGCCACAGGAAGCCAGTGCAGGGACCTGAGGACTGGACTAATGTGGTCGTACTTCCTGGTTCTAGTCAGGACTCGAGCTGCTGCATTTTGAATGTACTGCAGCTGTTTTACAGCCTGTTTGGACAGACCTGTGAGCAGGCCATTGCAGTAGTCTAACCTACTGGAGACAAATGCATGGATAAGAATCTCCAAATCTGCTTTAGACACTATGTTTTTGATCCTGGCCATGTTTTTAGATGGTAAAAAGCTGCTGATGTTACTGATTTTATGTGGCTAATTACATTTAAGTCTGAGTCCAGTATTACCCCTAGATTTCTGACCTTGTTTGAAGGTTTTAGGGAGAGAGACTGTAGGTGACAGATGACGCTCTCTCTTTGTTGCTGGGGACCAAAAACAATCATTTCTGTTTTGTCTGCGTTTAGCTGAAGGAAGTTGTTTTGCATCCACTCACTGATCTGTTGGATACAGTGAAGGAGTGAGTCCACTGGTCCATGTTCTCCTGCAGTCAGTGAGACATAGATCTGAGTGTCGTCTGCATAGTTATGATAGGAAACTTCGTTTCTACGTATTAACTGACGGTTTCCAATCTCCACAAAGTACTTCCTGTCTTCTAGGTAAGACTTAAACCAACTTAGGGCGGTGCCAGCGCCAACCCAGTCCTCTAGTCTCTGTAAGAGGATCTCATGATCGACAGTGTCAAAAGCTGCACTCAGATCTAACAAGATTAAGATTGAGACTTTTCCTGCGTCAGTGTTCAGCCGGATATCATTTGTAACCTTGACGAGAGCAGTCTCAGTGCTGTGGTGGGGTCTAAAGCCGGACTGAAACATGTCAAATGAGTTGTTGATTATAATAAATCTAGTAAGCTGTTGGTAGACAACTTTCTCAAGGACTTTCCCCATAAATGGCAGATTTGAGATGGGACGATAGTTTTTAAGTACCGTAGCATCGAGACTGCTCTT